GCAAAAAATTGAATGTATTCACAGCAATGTTATTATGGAGTTAATGAGAGGTGTGAGAAATCAATTAAATGAACTCATAACTGGTCTCTTAATGTAAGATGTGGCTCCAATAAGCTAAGGATTATCTCATAGTCTATCAAGATACAAGCTGAAGTTTAGTGCATATAAGGTGTGGTTTCTTTAAACTTTTGTCAATTGGCATTGGGAGTGGATGTTTATTTGTTAGCATGTTGTATTTGCCATTTCTTTTTCCCACTGAGTTGCTGTTGACACCTATTTTGTTATATAATCATTTTGTAAGCATGTTGCTTGCCTTATGTTCGGTGTGGCGTTATCAATTGTTGGGTCTTATATGATAAGTGTTAAAAAAATGCTTAAAATTTTTTCACCACATGAATACCCTTTTGGATTTTTTTTTGGAATAAGGAGTCAAAATGTATTACAAGAAGTCAATAAACATAAATCAAGTCAAATGCTGGTAGTTCACCCTAGATTTATCCCAACTCAAAAACTAAAAACAAAGGCCAGGTGGCTAGCCTAAAAAAACAAGAACAGCATGCTCACAATAAAGAATGTGACATTTGAATTATTGAAAGAAGAATAGCATATTTCTAGAACACTTAATAAATAGATTTTCTTTTTAATATCCCTTGGGAAACATTGTTAGAGGTTGCTGTTGTCTAAATGTCACCTATTGTGTTACAGGTAGATACCATGATTGTCTAAGCCATTAGTCTACTTGATGACTTGGATAAAGAGCTAAATATATATGCCATGAGAGTTTAAGAATGGTACGGTTGGCATTTCCTTGAGCTTGCTAAAATTATACAGGATAACATCCAGTGTGCAAAGGCTATCAAATTGATGGGAGATCGAGCTAATGCTGCAAAATTTGATTTCACTAAGGTATGGTTTGTGAGCTATACTTAAAGTACCTTTGTAATTTTGCTTTTTAGTTTTAACATCTCAAGGTCAGTTCCACTATCATATATGTTTGAAGTCAAGGATGCACAATTATTCCCAGGATTACATTACATGGAAACCTTTTATTGTAAATTTAATTAACATCAATACCCTCTTTATATACAGTAATACAGAATAGGAAGCTAGGCTTTGCTGTTTTCATGGATTCTTAAGTTTTCTAACTTCATGTGCCGCAGATCTTGTCAAACAATGTTGAGATAGAACTAAAGGAGGTTTATGTCCATGGGAACTGAAGTTGATGAGCTTGATTTGATGAATATCAAAGAATTGTGTGACCATGTGTTATCTCTTTCTGAGTACAGAGCCCAGCTATATGATTACCTAAAAGTAAGATGGACATCATCACACCCAATTTGACTACTCTTTTTAGGGAGCTAGTTAGTGCTTGTCTTATTGCCTATGGGAGCAGCTTATTAAATCTTGCAAAACAGCCTAGGAGCATGGTGCAGATTCTCAATGTTGAAAAGGCTCTCTTCAGAGCCCTGAAGACTAAGCATTCTACTATCAAATATGGTCTTATTTACCATGCATCTCTGATTGGTCAGGTAACTCCCAAGTTCAAGGCTAAAATTTCTCGATCACTCATTGCGAAGGCTGCATTGACCATCTGGTGTGATGCTTTGGGAGATGGCGAAGATAATTCCATAGGCTTGGAGAAGAAAGCCAAGGTACTTTCTCAAAATTGGATCGATAGTTTCCCTCTGTTCATAATTCATATTTCCTTAAGACTTTCTGATAGCTATCCAATAAGATACTTGTAGGGTAGGATACTTTAGCATATGTATTACATATTCTAACATTTGTATTATGAATTTTTTACAATAAATTTGTTCTACAACTTAAAAAACTTGAAAAAAGCTTACTATTTTGGTTGATTATTTCAAATATCATTATATTACTTTAGAAATTCTTGTTCAAAAATCAAAATACATGTACCTATATCATAAAACATTGAAATAAATATTATAAATATTCCTGTACTTGAATCCTAAAATTTTTGAAAATTACCATATCCACTGAATTATGCTATATTGTATTCGATACATGTATCCAAGTCGGTGCTTCTTAGTCTAACATGCCTATTCTAACAGCTTGAAGCATGGTTAAGGAATCTTGAAGGCAAGGAATTAGGTTGATTTGCTGGCTCAGCTAAAGGAAAGCCCAAGATAGAAGCATATGACAAGGATAGGAAGAAGGGAGTTGGAGCACTATTAACATCGGCTAAGGTCTGATTCTAAATCACCCTTTTTTGTTTGTTTGATGCCTCTGTAATGTTTTGCTCTATTTTCATAAATGCTGACTCTACTGTGTTTTGTAGACATATAATCTTGCCACCGACTCTTCTCTTGGTCGAGTAGATTTGAACACTGAATAGGAACCAATGAAAATTGAGGATGGAACCTAGGGGGCTGCTGTTAGTGAGAAGAAAGAAAAGAAAGAGAAGAAGAAAGGGAAGGAGAAGAAGAATGAAGAGGATGCAAATGCTATTCAAAAGCATGAAAATGGAGCTGACATAAAGGAGAAGAAGAAAGGGAAGGAGTCTAGTGAGAATGGTGAGTTGAATGGAGATGATGCTGATGTGGGAGAAAAGAAGAAAAAGAGGAAAAGCAAGCAGAACAAGAAGAATAAGCTAAAATGCCCAGAAAAAAGAGAGACAAAAAGAAGAAAATAGAGGATCAATAGCCATAGGGATTGAATTTGTAGTTATCAGCTAACCCATTTGCTGGTAACAATATCACTTTTGGATATCTCAAGTAACTCAATGCTTCATTATTTATAAATTGCTTCATTATACATTAATACATCTTTGTGTCCAATTTTTTTTACTAATAAAGTATGATGTATTTGAGGAAATTTTGATGCTGTTATATTTATTTGTGCATTTTAGATGCTGTTGGTTCTAAACTTTTAGAGATATATATATATATATATATTCAATTTTCTTTCATAGTCATGTCATATAATTTTTCCTAACATGATGAGCACACAACTTTCCATTCATGATGATGTTGTAAATTATTGGGGTAATCTCTGTCTCTTTAAAATGCTAGTCATTGCTCAATTTCCAATCTATGCCATGCATGCTTCGAATATTCATTGATAAAGTAGGCTTTGCCCATAAAAGATAGTATGATATGATAATATATGCATGTTAGATTTTTTTTTGGGAGAGTTCATATACAAGTTTACAATGTATTAGTATAGTATAATATGTAAAATGTTTATATGTCATGCATTAATACAAGTTTACATATAATATGTAGTGTATGAGAAGGTTTATTTTCTAGCATTAATCGTTTGGGTTGATCTATACTTGAGGATGTCTAAGGAAATTATCAATCAAAATTTGTTGATTAATAGCAATGTGTTAAAGCTAAGATTGAATTGGCTATTTCGGGTAGTGATTCCTTAAACGATTGAATTGGTCATCAATCTAATTTGGAACAACCGCAAAATCCAACAAATAATTGAATTGGTAAATACCATTAATTAGGTCAATATAGTCTTCATTAATTCCAATGGTATGAAAAAATCTGTAACTGAAGGGGGGAAAGAAAATATTTATTTATTTATGATCTCTTTTATTTCAAAAGCAAATTTTTATATTTAATTACTATGCATTTGATCACAATTTAATTTTGGTTATAGTTAAGATATTGAACATCAAACTTATTATTGAATTGGTTAAGATACAAGTTTAAGGGTTAATAATTAAAATGACAGTTGAATCATGTGGTCAGATCAATCATAAACAAAATATTTTAATATTTTATTAAATCATGTGACTCAACAATTTACCACTTCAATTGAGTGGATTGACTTGGATTTTTATACTCTACACATATCATGTTAGTTCAATTGTGGGTTTGATTTTTTTTTTATTTTTATTTCTCACTAGTTCAATTATGAGTTTTATTTTTTATTTTTTTGTTTCACTTAGCGTATAGAATTTCTCCAATCTTATATATAAATCATCTTTTAGAAAAATTGCTGGTTTTTTTTATAAGTCATTTTGTATGAAAGATAGATCATTTATAACATTATTCTAATTTTATCTTTTTGTTATTTTCTATTAGTAAAGTAAAACATTACATATGATATGAGAAAGATATTTTATTTTTAAATATGATACATTTAATAAGGGTAAAATGAGAAATTGTTGTCTTTTTCATAACATTAATGATTTAACTCTCTTTTCTTAATTTCAGAGATAGTTAAAAATGACTTATTTATAAAATAAGGAGTAGTGGACTTAATGTGATTCCTATCGTTGACTTCATTTAATTGTTTATGGGTTACTATTGTTGATGTTTGTTGTAGCTGAAAGATTAAAGTTAAAAACATAAAGGTGAATATTAACTAAACAATCAAAATGTAGCGTCTTATATATAAGAAATTATAAAAGTACTTGCTTTATTAAAAATATAAAATATTTTTTAAAAAGTTAAATAGTAAAAAATATAAAAAAATTTTAGCAGTTTAAAATATAATTAATGTACTTTATTCAAAATGTCCATAATAAATAAATTATTTATATTTATTTTAAAGTAAAACATCTTAATAAAATAAGAGTAAGTATAAAAAAATGGTGTTATTTAAAAATAAGTAATTATTTTATTAGAAATCATATTTGATTAAAAATGTCTTACATTTTAGTGAGTGTATAATTAAAATGTGGATAATTAATTATAAAATTAATGCAGGTAAGTAGTTATAAAAATATAAAAAAAATTCTGAGGAGATCTATCTGTAGACAAATGTTAGCTTGCAAAATGAAAAGTTTATTTTTAATCACTGTTTAAAAATATCATAACGGTTGTATCAGGGGAAAAAAATCATAACAGTTATCTTAACTTATCAATGAATGTGCAACTAATGTCCAACGATGCTAACGTTTATTTATCAATTCAAAAAGGGAAAAGTTTTTAGAAAGAAACAGCCAAGCGGTCAGGGTGTCCATACTCCGACTACTTGCAAAGTAAAAGCAATTAAAGCAATCTACATTATTGTCCTTCGCTTCAGGCATTGGCCGACAAGAAAATCTACCAAACCAATTAAATTGAAGCTTCCAACTTTATTATCCATTCACGCAGCTTTGAGATTATTCCCATCGAGGAAAGAAAATAAGCTCTATCATTATTCCACACTACACTTCTTCTGCGCTCTCGTTCCCAAAAAAACTTTCTTGATTTCTTCTGCTGATCTCCCCTGTTAAGCATACCAGCAACCATGGCTGCTGAGGTTGTGGGTGGAGCATTTCTCTCTGCTGCTCTTCAAGTTGTTTTTGATAGGCTGGGTCCTGCTTCTACCATATCCAAGTACGTCCGATCTAGAAAGCTCGAGGATCGATTGCTCAAAAACCTCAAAAACACCCTCATCTCTGTGAATCAAGTGCTCGATGAGCAGAAGCAAGGCAGTACACAAACTCCTATGTCGAGAAATGGGTTCAGGAGCTCAAACATGTTGTTTATGTGGCTGATGACCTCTTAGATGAGATTGCTACTGAGGCGACCAGGTTAAAGATCGAAGCTGAGAATCAACCTGCTTCCAGTAAGGTACTAAGCTGCTTAACTGCTTTTGATAATCCATTTGACAAACACATGGAAGCTAGAATCCAGGAAGTGCTTGACGACCTGAAGTCCCTTGTAGAACAAAAGGATATTCTGGGATTGAAGGAAGGCTCTAGCGGTGGTAGTGAAGTTGGAGTTGGTGGGAAAGGATACTCTAGATTGCCAACTACATCTCTGGTGCCTGATGAGTCCCGCACATATGGCAGAGATGGTGATAAAGAAGAAACAATTCGTCTTTTACTCGATGAAGATCTGAGCAGGGACCCACTATCTGTGATTTCTATAGTGGGTATGGGTGGGTCGGGGAAAACCACTCTTGCTCACTGGTGTACAATAATGAGAGGATGAAGGATGGCAAATTATTTCAACTCAAAGCTTGGGTGTGTATTTCAGAAGAATTTGATGTTATTAGAATTACGAAAACAATACTTTCTGCACTTGATTGTTCAATAACAGGATATGAAGATAAAATCAGCTTCAGCTGAAACTGAAAACAGAAATTGACAGGGAAGAAATTTTTTCTAGTTCTTGATGATGTCTGGAATGAGCACCACCCCAGTTGGGAATCATTACAAGTTCCTTTGTGTTTTGGGGCTTCTGGAAGTAAGATCCTTGTTACAACACGTAGTGAAAATGTAGCATCAGTCATGGCCTCTATTAGAGTGCATCACATAACTTTGTTAAATGAAGAAGATGGGTGGAAGTTATTTGCAGAATATGCGTTCAAAAACAAGGATGCTAGCTCGTGTTCAAATCGACAGTCAATTGGCAAAAAAATTGTTGAGAAGTGCAAAGGGTTGCCTCTAGCCATAAAATCATTGGGTGGCCTCTTGCATAAAAAGTTTTCAGAGGAATATTGGAAGGAAATTCTTGATAGTGAGATATGGCAGCAACGGGATAGCAAGAGTGATATAATGCCAGCTCTACGACTAAGCTATCATTATCTTCCTTCTAATTTGAAGAGGTGCTTTGCATTTTGTTCTATATTTCCTAAAGACTTTGAAATTGACAAGGAGTCTCTAATCCAAATGTGGATGGCAGAGGATTTGATACGTTGCAACCAAGGAAATAAAAGTGTGGAGGAATTGGGGAATGGAATTTTGGAGGAACTAGAATCAAGGTCATTTGTTGAGAAATCAAGAAGAAATGATGACAAATTAATCATGCATGATCTTGTAAATGATTTAGCGATGTCAGTCTGCGAAGGATTTTGTTTGAGGATGGAGGGTAATAAGGTGCCAAATAATATTGATGAAAAGATACGCTACTGTTCACACTCAAGTTTCGTCGATGAAATATCATTGGAAACTATTTATGAGAGCAAGCAGTTACGTTGTTTTGCTCAACTAAAAGAAGGGTACCGTGATCCTGGTGATGAGATTGAGGCTGAAATGCTTTTAAGATTCAAGCACTTGCGAATTTTGGGCTTGAAGAATGTTGCAACTATCACTAAATTAAGTGATGGTATAAGCAATTTAAAGCACCTTCGTTATCTAGACTTCTTTCATTGTGGGATTGAAAAGTTACCAGATTCAATCTGCACCATGTGTAATTTGCAAACTTTGAAATTGAACGAGTGCGATCAGCTTGTTCGGTTACCTCAGGATTTGTACAAATTAATCAATTTGTATTATCTAGACCTTTCTTCTACTGGGATCAGCAAGCTACCTGATTCAATTTGTAAGGTGCACAGTTTGCAAACGTTGAAATTGCGAGGGTGCGAGTCTTTGGCTGAATTGCCACCAGATTTGCAGAGTCTCATCAACCTTCGACATCTTGATTTGGTTGGGACTTGTATAAGGGAGATGCCAATGAACATGGGAAGGATGAGACGTCTTCAAGTATTGACAAGCTTCGTTGTGGGAAAGCAAGGCGGGTCCAATATTAGGGAGTTAGGAAAACTCAATTGTCTTCAAGGCAGTCTTAAGATTTTAATGTTGGATAACATCAGTGATCCAAAGGATGCTGGGGGGGCCAACATGAAGGAGAAGAAATACCTGAATGAATTGACTTGGGATGGAGTGGAAACAATGAGGATTCACAAAATGAAAGGTCCGTTTTGGAGGCTCTTCAACCTCATACAAACATGAAACGTCTTGTTATTGAAAACTATGGTGGCACAAGGTTTGCGGACTGGATGAATGCTCCTTATCTACCTAATTTAGTATCTCTTGTGTGAGCGATTGTAAATATTGCTTTTGTTTACCACCATTTGGGCGGCTGCCCTCTCTAAATGTGCTTCGGATTTGTAGATTACAAGGAATAAAGAAGATTGGGTCAGAGTTTTACGGGGAGAATTTGCCAATTGCTCCGTTTCCATCCCTTAAATATTTGATAATTGAAGATATGGGGGAATTGGAAGAATGGAAGCATTTTGAAGGTGAATGTTTTCCTCGCCTTAAAACCATGTTTATAGAAAGCTGTCCGAAATTAAGGAAATCCCTTCCTCTATGCCTTCCATGTTTGGAATGGCTATTAATTACAGGATGTGAAGGCTTGGAACTTGAATCATTCCCTATGAAAGATTCCTCTTATCCGAAACTTGAAAATATCACCCTTGCTGGCATGACCCATCTGAAGTCACTTCATGAAGACATGCATGCACAGGTCCCCTGTCTTCGTTCTTTAGAGCTGGTTCGATGTCCACAGCTGCAATTGGTTCCTCAAAGAGGTTTTCCTTCAAGCCTTTTCAATATTAGAATAACAAGTTGTCCGAAACTCATAGCTTGTCGTATGAGCTGGGGCTTGCAAGGGCTTCATTCTCTAGAACAGTTTCAAGTGGGTGATCATGATTTTGAAAATGCCGAGTCTTTCTTAGAAGAGCAACATTTGCCGCCCAATCTTGTAGTTCTTCATCTTGTGGGATGTTCAAATTTGACAAAAATAAACAACAATGGCCTTCTCTCCCTCACATCTCTTCGGTGGTTATGCATTGAGGGTTGCCCAAATCTCGAGTGCTTGCCAGAGGAAGGTTTACCCAACTCCCTTTCTGGAATATATATTTCAGGAAATAGTCCATTACTAAAGCGGCGGTACCAAAAAGTGGATGGACCAGGCTGGCATAAAATTTCTCACATTACAGACGTGCGTATAGATTAGATGGAACTGCATTCCCTTACAGGTATTTTATTTTATTTTAACCTTCCATTAATAAGTTGATTTCATTGTTTTGACATTTTCAATCTTTTTTTTAAACAAAAATAAAGGCACCATATTTTGTAGTCTACTCAAAATCCACGAAATTATCATTGTAATTATTTTTTTTAGATGGGAATTTGAAACTCAATAAGCACCCAGTCTCCTAGTTTTAATCCTTGGATTAACAATTATAGAGTTTTCTTTTTGGGCTTTAAATTAGTTGTTTGGTTTCGTCTATTTACTTTTTTTTTTTTGGTTCTTTATTAAGTTGAAACTTATTTTTTGAAAAATATATTAAAAGAGTTATTTAAAAAAATATAATTATTATCATTGAAAATGTATTCTTTATAAAATTAATATTAGAATCAAAATAATTTTTAAAAAATTGTATATAATCAATAACTATCAATTATTTTTACATGACATTAAGTTAAAAATCAATTTTAAATTTTGAAAGGGATTAAAAAAATTGTAATGACAAGAAATGTCTAAAAAGATTATAAAAATATTATAGTTCATGATAATTCTCAACAAAAATTAATACCATAAAATAAATATAATTTAAAAACAAACAAAAAATGGCATTTGTTTGGATTGGAGTACGCCTGAATGGCTCAGGCAGGGCAGGATTGTTCAAGGTTTCAGATAATGTGCACAACCCTACCTATAAATAAGAAGCCTTGTACTATTGAATCCCTTCCCAATAAAATATTGTTTCTTCTTTGGCCTCGTATTAAGAAAAAAATTTGTTTATTTCTTAGACAGTTTTATTTCAAAATAATATTTTAATTTTAGTTTTTAAGATTTTACCTTTCTTTCATCTCTTGTTGGCAGTTCATTCATTCACCCGGGAGTCATGATGCATATATAGAGTTTCGTCACTAATATTCTTTCTTAATTAAAGGTTAGTGCTTTAATATTATTGCATTTCTTGTATTTAATTTATTTTTTTTTCTCTATCTTTAATAAAATTAAAAATGATGTGCAATTGTTAAAAGTATTTATGAGCAGCAAAATTATTGTAGAAAACGTGAACGTGTACGAATCATTCATAAATGGTGACATCTAATCGCTGCAACTTGTTCAACCAAACTTTGAAATTAGATGATCTTATTATTTATTTATTTTTTTTTGGTAAAAGAAATTAGATGATTTTAAATTGCACGTGTTGAGATTGTATTTTAACAATAATAATCATTTCAAAATAATAATAATAATAATAATATTTGAAAATTTTTTTTATTTATATCAAATAATTTCATGCAAACAATTATTAATTTTCGGGAAAAAAATTCTTCACTTTAAAATTTCTCTAGCTGACTTTAAGATAGTGGAAGGGTTGATTGGGTTATCTATTATGATTTTTTTAAGAAAAACCGATTAATTATATATTGAAAATTAAAAATGCCTTATTTTTTGGATAAATTGGTCCACTAGCTGAAAATAATCTTATGTCTAGGAAACATGGACCAAGTTTTTTAAAAATTGAAAGTAAGGTCAGTTTACATTGATATACAAGGAGTTTATCATTGAAAATTTGAAAATTTACAAAGGATTTGTCATTGATATCCAACTGTATATTATTAACAAATATATAAATTAGCCATAATACAAAATATAATAAACGTTGAGCTATTTTCTTGGTTTGGTCATATAACATGGACTATATCTATAAAGGTCCCTATATCTTCTAACATCTAACCTAAGAATAAATGCCATATTTTTTAACGGAGGAAGTAAATGATTAAAAGGGAGGGGCACTTCAAGAAAATCAACATACAATTTTTACAAATAACCAACTTAATTAATTTCCTCAATCTATTTGAATTAGTTATCTATTTCTTTCATTGAGGATGGGAAGGAGTATCTGATTTTAGGGTGAGGATTCTTTCCACTTTCCTTCCCATCATCTTCTTGATTTCTAACCATTAGATCAAGGTTATGATAATCTATATTTGATTTCCTATGTAATATTCCTTTTTATTTTTATTGTATTTTTTAATTGTTCATAGTAAATTTTAGTTTAGATTTTAATATTTTATATTTTTTATACTTTAACATTTCAATAATAATTTTATAGGAGATTAAATATAAACCATCCAAATTTTAATCTAATGGTTAAAAAGGAAAAAGAAGGGGAGAGGATGAGAAGGAAGAGGAGAGAATTCTTGCCCCTGGATTTAAGTTCAGTGTACATGTTTAATTATGATGCTATCTCCATTTACTTACAAGCTCATTGTTGTTACTTGTGTCGGAATGCTTAGCGAGATACCAAGTTTTTGGACTATCCTGAGTTTCCCAGAATCATATGCCATCCCATGTATTGCCAATCCTTGTTGTGATCATCATCTTCCTCGGCATCTCGTGGTGCTTTTCCTATGAGCAACATGGTTGGATTCTGCTTGTGATTCCAGTAATGATACTACTCTTATATTATTAGTAGTTTCCAAGGATGTGTTTCAGCCCTTTAGGATCCACTTTTGCAGGCTCTTTTTGGAAATGAAAACCCTAATAATATGATCATCATGCAAAGTTTCATGAATCTATAACCCTTTTAGTTGTCTTAACAACAAGCTCAAGAATTTTATCAGGTAGCGCCTTAACTTTTTCATCATGCATTCATTCATTGAGCGTTCATAATTCTGCAACCACAATAAATGTCGTTAATTATGCCCTCACAGCTACATAGAAACTCATGCACATCATCTGATTGTGGCAAAATTTACATGAGTTTTGTTTATCTAACAACTAATGCACATGAGCAATATTTTGAATTTCAAAACAGACATGTTTGCCTGTGTTGTTATGATTCTATCTCATTCTTTCATTTTTCTCCATGTGCAGAAAATGCTAAGCCAAATACCATGGATTTGGACTATCCTAAGTTTCAATGCATGTAAAGCAAATTTGTGAAGATCCCAGTCCTCACATGAAATCTTGTCCACAAAACCACATACTCGAAGCTTCCTCTATCTAACCTCATCTTCCCATGTGTGGTAGCGGTCTCCATCTTCCTTGGCATTGTTCTATGAGGGAGTTTTCAAAAATGCAGATGAACAATGGGGCTGTATTCTATAGTTATGATGTTGCTCTTAATTTTCTACTGAGAGGAAGAAAGGAGGACCCAGCATTTTCCATTCATTGTACTCTTGCTTATCGTGGTTCTGTAAGAATCACCTTCCTTGAAACTGAAGTTCTGGTCTGTTTGGTTTCTTTTTCTAGGGGTTTGAATTCCTGGATAAAGTTACTTATTATTTTGATGAATTTGATATTAAAATGTCAAAAACCTATATCAATTGTTAGATAATAGGAAACTTTGAATCTAACCACATGAAAATGACAAAATATATGATAGGAGACAGAGCTGTATGAATTTGGTTTAAGATATGGAATCTTGTTTATTTGGAAAGAAGCTTGCTAAATGAGGATCAGAACTTCTCTGACACTACCCTGCTGAAAACAATTGTGAAGATATTGAAATTCAGTTTTAGGCATGCTTGAGAATTGAATCATAATTGATCGCCTCAGAAAAGCGTTCTATATGCGTTTATGCTTCTTTATAGATTCTTCTTTTATCTCATGGTTACTTTCTTCAAATTATTTATAATTGACACTAAGCACCTGAGGCTTACTTTGTCCTACATCTACTTCTCCTTTTGTATCTTGTATTCAATTTTGAAGTTTTTATTTGTAATTGGATTTGAATCTGAAATAAATTTGCCAATCTTGTCTGTGAAAGTTGCAACAAGTGAACAACTGGTGAAAGCTAATGGCACACAGTATTGAAATTTATGGATTAGCTGCAAACTATCAATGGTACCTATTGTCCTTTATTTCCCTCTGTTGCTTTGTTTCTTTAAGATTGATATTTGTCCTATAACATTTCAAAGAAAAGGATAACCATTAACCTATGTATACCAATGAAGTTATTCAAATTAGTATTTTATGAAACTAATTGATTCCGTTGTTCAATTTGACTCTTTCTTGTTAAGACTTGAGAGTTTTATGACCTTTAAATATACCTCAAGAAATCTAGTGAAGCCAAGAAATATATTCCATGTGTAAAAATGCTGAGCTGAAGACCATGTCTTCGGACTATCCTGAGTTTCACTGTATATATGTAAAGCAAATCTATGATGATCCCATCCTCACGAGATCTTGTCCACAGAACCACATGCCTGAAGCTTCCACTATGCTAGTGGTGGTCTTCATCCTCGGCAGTTGATGGTATTCTAGGAGAAAGTATCAAAAAGTGTAGATGAACAATGGTGCTCTTAATTTTTTATGGATAGTTCAATTTGGTTCTTGTTTGGCTCATCAACATGCGAGGAAGTAAGGAGGACCCATCATTTTCCATTAAAGGGGTGTGGATGTTCTTATTTTGCTTTGGCTCATTTTTGTTTTGTAAGAGTCATCCTTTCTTGAAAATAAAGCTTTTCTATGTTTTGGTTTCTTTTTCCAGAGGTTTGAATTCCTTGATGAAGTTATTTGGTTTTCTAAGAATTTGACAGTGAACTTTTCTGTGGCTTTCGGTACTTTCTTCTGTTGGAAAGGATAGGAGTGTGTTTCTGGGCAGATTAACTGTAATTTTTGTTGATTTTCTTATATTCCCTTGCATTGGCTGTCGAAAATGTGTGAATTGATAAATTAATTGGCTTGAAGTTTTTCTGGTTGCAGGTACAACTAGACTATGGTTGGTCTTATTGAAGTGACTAACACACAGCATTAATTCTATGTGAGATCAGTTTATGTGTTATGGATCAAATGAATGATTAATTGCCTGAAAAATTTCTCCTCTTTTAGCCTTGGGTATGTTTTTTCTGTGGAAGTTGGGAAATCTTCTGTTCTATTTATTTCTGACCTTAAACACCTAAGATTACTTTGTCTTGCATCTACTTCTCCTTTTTGAATCATCTGTTTCACTTTTTAATTCTTTATCTGTAGTTGGATTTGAATCTGGAACAAAACTACGTGCCAAGCTTGTCAATCAACGTAGCAACAAATGAAACAGCTGCCAAAAACTAATGGCATGAGGGAAAATTCAAATGGTTGAATTAGTCTCCCATGATCAAAGGTACCCCACAGTCCTTTTAAGAGGTTTGGGCATATACAAGGAAGACCAAGGGAGGCACCGGTGAGAAGAGTGGAACATATAACTTTGAGTCCGATTAAGAGAGGTAGAGGAAGGTCTAAGAGAACACTTTTGAAAGTTATTGAACGCGATTTGTTAATTAATAATATTCCTAAAAGCTTGATAAATGATAGAGCACAATGGCGTCTTGCAATCCATGTAGCCAACCCCATCTAGTGGGATAAAGGCTTGTTGTTGTTGTTGTTGATCAAAGGTACCCCACAGTCCTTTTAACTCATTTTGTGACTTTGTTTCTTACACATTGATAAATGTTCGAGAACATTGCCAAGAGAAAAAGATAACTGCTTAACTGATATATGTCTGTGAAGTTATTCTCCATAGTATTGCACTAAAGTGTTAAATGAAACTTAAACTGATTACTTTTTTCTATATGAATCTTTCTTTTGTTAAGAGTTTTTATTATTGTTTATAATTCCTAGAGAAATGTAGTCATGCCAAAATTCAATGCTGGACTTCTGAGATTCATTCATTTCATGATGTCTGTCTGCATTGTTTGCTGTCAAAGTCTCAGTTCAATGGGGATAATTAGTTGATAATATATTGATGCCTAACATACTAATTAAGTTTTCAATTCTAATGATGTGACCACCATCATGGATGGTTTTTCCTTGATGTATTCAGTTTTATTTTTGTGAATAATTTCCTGTAAGTAAATAACAATTTAACATAGAAGATTAGTCATTTCAAATTTTCTTCTCATGAATGACTCTCCAGATGATGACTAAAACATCAAAAATCCACTAAATATGTCTCTAAGGATGGACAAAATATTTTTCAAGTTTGCAAATGAAAATCTTAATAATATGATTATCCTGTAAAGTTTCATGAATCTATAACCCTTATACTTGTCTTTATCCTTAAATATCTCAAGAATTGTATAAGGTAACTACCTAGCTTTTACATCATTCCTTCATTGTGTGTTCATAACACCTTATGCACCTCTGGAATATTTTGAATTTCAAAAAAAGTCATGTTTGCCTGTGTAGTTACGATTCTTTCTCATGCTTTTATTTTTCATCCACATGCAGAAATGCTAAGGCAAAGGCCATGTCTTTGGACCATCATGAGTTTCAATATATGTGAAGCAAATTTGTGATGATCCCATCCTCACAACAAGTCTTGTCCACAGAACCACATGCTTGAAGCTTCCGCCATCTCCAACCTCAACATCCCATGTGCTGCTATTCCTAGTTCTAGTCTTCATGTTCCACAGCATTTGATCGTATTCTTGTGAAAGTTGTCAAAAGTGCAGATGAATAATAGGGTTGGATAGGGTGGGAATATGGTTCTGGACATATTAATTGGAATCTTTGCTGGTTGCAGGTACTTTGAGATTGCAATCTGGCTTTTAACATAGCACTACCCTTTATTAATTTTATGACTGTTCATTATTCCTCAAGAAATCTAGTGAAGCACGATTGATTGTTGTTCTTTGGGATTCATTCATTTTCATTATCTCTGAATTTGATGTTATAATCTCAGTCAAGTTATGGAAACCGGATACTTTGGTGCCTAGCATGCTGTATCTTCAATTCTAATAATGTTCACTTCCATTCATGGTTTGATTCTTGAGGGTGGAAGGCTTTTATCTTGATTTCTTTGGGAGCATAAAGAAGCTTGTTGATCTGTCAGAATAAGTGAAGTAGTGTGGTGTTGATGTTTGAACCGTTTCTTGTATATTTTTTTCTGAATTTGCAGGCAAGCGAGAGATACTGTCAAAGCTATTAAAACAACAACAAAAATGATGGGAATTGTGGCAGATCCCAATGGCTAACTTCATTTAGTCAAGGGTGAGTATGCAATTCTTCATGTAATTCTTGACACAGTCTATTCCACAAACAAAAAGCCCCATTATGCATTTTGACGGAACTGAATTGACAATCCTTACCTTTCAGTTCTATAGTGTCATGTTGAATGACCTGTTCCTTATCTGATGAGCAATGGAAGAGATCATATTCATAGTTAAGGAAGAATCATGTTCCATGCTGTGAGTGTCAGCAAATTTAGTAGTTGGTCCTTTGTTGTTGGGCCTGTAAATTGTTTTGTTTCTGTTCAATGTACACTAGTTGGGCGAGAGAGACCTATTCAAAGGGTATTTCAGATAATGAGCTGATATGTTACTGTGTAAATTGGTCATTTTGAGATTACAACTCTCCATGTGGTAACCGAATTCATGTGTTCCTTCAAATGCCTTTTGTTTGTCTCCTCTGTTTTTTGTTTTTTTTTTTTTTATATTTATGCAATGTAGAGCCAAGGTTGTGTTGAGGTTGCTGCGACTAACCAGATTGTTTGGTTTTGAACAACCATTCCATGATGAATCTGATTCATCACATGCTGATATAACTAAATGAATTTCTTTCTGATTTATCATAAAGATAATACCATAGTGCTTTTATCTTAATTTTTCAAGAATATCTAAATACAGAGCCCAATGTTTGATGATAAATGGATCAAAAAAGCTATATACATATATATGCTTGTATACGCATGTATGTAAATGTGTGTAGAGCGCGTGCATTCCTTTTCATTTGTTGGAAATTAAAAGAGACTATGGAAGTAAAATACAGGGCTTTTGTGACTAATTGTAAATATATATGATAGGAGATGTTGCTACATGATTTGGTTTAAGATATGAGGATTAGAACTTCTTTTTTCTCCTGCCTCAGTAGAAAATTTTCATTCATGCTTGAAAATTGAATCATCATGATCCATCCGCACAGAAAAACTTCCTCTCTGCCATCATGCACTTTTTCTGTTGGAGTGGCGGCAAGTTATTTAATTCTTGAAACCTCCTCTTTATTTTTAAGATTTCATTTCAATCCACCCTAATGTTAGTATGCTGTTAAATTACATATGTTGGAACAAAATATTCCTTCTTTAAATATAAATATTATCTAAAAATCATTCAAATTACCCCAAAAAAAAAAATTAAGCATATGTATATATGTATATATACTTTTAACATATACAAGCATATTCGTTTGGTAATATTCTTTAAAATTTAAATACATAAATCATCCAAAATAATATTTCAAAGACTAAGTTAAAAAACTTGAAATTATGTAATGTTGTTGAAATGGAAATTCTCATTCCTGGCTTGAGTTCCATGGTGTTGTACTAAATGTTTCATATTGAACTACTAATGTTCTAGCTGCTTGGAAATGAAAACTTTAAAGATCATATTTATAACAAAATTTGTGGTCCTAGCCTGGCTTTGTTGTTCTTGCTACTTGTCCTGATGCTGAGAAACTAAACATTGTGATGTCAGAGAATAGGTTCTCTAAGGAATTAAGAGTCACACTTGAAGAACTCTTATAATGAGAACTTAAGGGATTGTAAATTGTTGTAAGGACTCTGTCTTTCAAAAATTTCAGTTACAATGTATGAATGTTGATCATTATGAAATTAGAACTGAGCAACTTGTGAATGAATTTAGAATAAATAGTGCTAGTCTTTTGCAGCTTGCTCTATTATGTATTTATTAGTCATTTTTTTTTTACTGAAAAATATAATTCACTTGAAAGCTTATTCCTTCCTCAGCTTCTCCAATGTAAGGTTAGCTTTTTTAAAAAAAAAAATTATTCTGTATGCTTCTTTAATTTTTTTATTTGAAATATCATTTTTTATGTGTTTTAGTCTCACTGATAATTAAGAACATACTTTTAATTAGAAAAATTAAATAAATAAAAATTATTATTTTATCAAGTAATTTTTCTTAATGCGGTTTTATGTGTTGCACCTCACATCTTTTATTTTTATCTGTAAATAAAGATAATTGTTTAACAGTTTTTTCATAATTTGGTATGCAAAATGGATTATTTTATTATTTTTTGTTCCTATTAGATAATTAATTAAAAATAATTTGTTCATTTTGCTTGAACTGACAATTGAATTCAGGACCTCCAAATTAAATTTGCACCCACATGAAGACTAAATCTGAAATGATTTGTTTGTTATTAATCAAACTATTAGTTTTGAGTGCTGCATCATTTAAAAGATTTTTCCCATATTCTTTCAATATTCACCTTAGAATTTTTTTTTTCACATCAAGTATAATTTTAAACTCAAAATTTTCGGTTGTTATCATTTCTACAACAACTTACACCTAAACTGTTACATTGGAAAACGATTGAATTTTATGCATAAAATTGAAAAGGAACAAATGTCAATATCTGCTTCAATAATTAATCAACAAAAGAGAAAATTATAGACAAATATGAACACCCTTACTTAGAACCTCCAACGATTTAGTTGTGTTACAAAAATATTCACATGCTGGGTGCATATTAACAAGTCTAATATTGTTTAGCTTACGGAGCTCAGCTATATATAATATCTATTCTTTGATAATATATATAAGTTATCCTTTTAAAAAAATTAATGGTCACATTTATAATTAATTTTGTATAAAAAGATGAAATATTAATTACTTTCTTTTAATTCTACTTTACACAATTTTCTATAAATATTGTAAAATATTGCATATAAGAGAAAATGCATTTTAAATATGATAAATTTAATAAGAGCAAATAAAACAATTTCTTCTTTTTTCAATTCTACCAATATAGTTAGAAGTGATTTATAAATAAGATAAAATAATATATTAATATTGTTAAAATTGTGGACAAGTAAACAAATTGCTAGGTGACAAGGATCGTTCCACATGATGATTGTACTTTGAAACCCAGAACTTGATTAATTAGCAAATAGTAATACCTATATGTTCAGATTTCTCCTAAATCTGGTTCTCATTGTTGCCTATGACGGCATAATGCAAATGGAAAAAATATTAAACCACAACACGATAAGTTACAAAGGAATCACCGCACCCAAGAACGTAAATGATCTTCACCACTTGTCCTTTTTCTAACCCACAGTAGCGCACCGTCGCATCAGTTTCTTGCAAGCATGGCAGCTGATATATACAAACTATCACAATTGAAGTTAATTTATCTGATTCATAAACTTATCTATATACAATAAACTTAAATAAAAGAGAGAATGTCAATGTGAGTCTTTAGTAGAGAAAAAAAAAGGTAAGGGTTCTAAATAACTAAGATTTTATTCATATAGGTTCATAAATTGGCTTGTGAATAGATGAAACTTCAATTATTCAGGATCCTCGTTGCTTTTTTTCTTTCTCTTATGAGACTCTCACTGCCATTCCCCCTAAATAAAAATGGTTTTAGAATGGAGGAAACAATAATTAAAAAATAAATTTCTCTAATTGTATAAATAAAAAATATTTCAAAAACTTTCTAACATTTATTATTTTCTAATATTGATAAAAAATTTGGTTTTATAAAAAAATTATTATTTTTCTATTATTATAAATTTTGTCTTTAATTTAATTTAATAAACATTAAAAATATTATATTTTAAAAAATATTAATATTTATTTTAAATGTAAATTTTGCTCTCATTGATTAATTTTTCTAAATCCATCACAAATTAATTGATGCCTTTATGGTGACCAAATTGGAATTCGCTATGCCATAGAACCCCAATTGAAGCATGGCAGCAAGATGATGAAACATGAAATTCATTGAATCATCTGACAAAGGACTCCTCCTTCAATGAATGAATGAATGAATGATACTATATTGTGTATGAGTTAAATGTTTTTAAATCTTTTTATACTCATTCTTGCTGCCAACTTATGTATCTACATTTTGCAGATTAATACAGTAGTCGACTTATCGTATATTGTACTTATTAGACAGGCAATTCAATTAATACAAACACAATTAATACCTGATTCGCTTCCATTTTATACTTCTCAAGCAATTTTGTCTTCTCATCTGTAGTCAATACCTCATACTCATTAGGTTGTAATATATGCTTTGAGGTATTCACCAGCAAGTCATTGATCTGTGAATAATATCATTCATTTAAAAAATATTGTATTAGGAGCAGCAGAAGGAATAAAATATTAAGGATAAGAAATATTTGAAAAAAAAAATGTAAATAAATTAATAAACACAAGGGCCTGGAATGTTAGTTAATTAGTGTATGAATGCTGCTCAAACCATGCATATCAAAAGCGGAAATTCCCTTGAAAACAACACCAGCCTCGTGAATATCATAGCGTAACAAAGTTTTGCTATCCTTCTTATTACCAAATCCTTTTAAGTGAATTTGGAGAATTGATCCAAAGTACTGAGACACACCTAATTTCTCTAAAGACACCAAAAGGCCCATTCCAATGGTAACTTTGGTGGAAGGGGAAAGTTTTTGATTGGAAGGGACATCTAAGTAAATGAAAGCCAATGTTCAAAAATTTGGTTAATGAGATAAAATTAAAGCATTAATCATGTGAACTGGAAGGTATCCTATGAGTATATAAATAGATTAGCAAATAGGCGTGCTAATTGGTTGGGGCAAAAGGCTCATAACATATGAACGACATACAGAGTGATGATCATTAGAGAACCACCCCCACAACGCATAGACATTATGATGAATGTATTAGCCTTTACGAGGAGTCAATCTTTTTCCTTATCCTTCTTAAGGCTCTTCCTTCCTTTATATTCCCCAAAAAAAAAAAAAAGAGGTCATGATTAAAACTAACACCTAGCTGAAATAGCAAAGCACAAAAAACTTTGGCCTCCTTTGAACTAATAGTAAGACCTTTATCTCACCCTTATTTGCAGTCCTAGAAAAAGCATCCAAACTCAAAACGTTCATTATTGAAGTGCACAAAGCCTCTCTAACCGCGACCAACATTGAGATTTACTATTAAATTAAAATTTACAGAAATCTTGATAACTTTTAAATTATTCTAATACCCTTGAAAAGAATTGGTAGCATAGTTTGGAATTTGTGACTTACTTTAAAAGTCTCGACCCTGCTAAATGGCTTTTGCAGTTCTTTTCCTGCATATGGGGTCATTTTACTTTGCAAAACAAGTATGACTTGACTCATTCTTTATTCATAATCTTGCCATACAAAAGACGAATGCTTTCACTTTGACATCAATAGTTCCAAAAAAGATAACCAATACCTGCAAAGAAGGTATTAAGCCATTGTGAATAGATAATATGTAAAGAGAATATGATTTATTAATTGTAGGCAATTAGAATTATTCAAATAAAGTTTTCACCCAAAAAAATTATTAAAGAAGTGCTTCAATAAAACAGCTAAAATGCATAACAGCATCACATGCAAGTGACATTTATTTGTTTTTTTTTAATACGTTAAGTG